GTGTATCTACCATAATACTCTCCGCCTCTATCAGTTCTCACGATCTTAATTTGCTTTCCACTTTGTTTCTCTACTTCGGCCTTAAAAACCTTAAAGGCATTTAATGCTTCGTTCTTATTATGAAGTAAGTAGAGATACATGTATCGCGAGTAATCATCAATGAAAGAGACGAAGTATTTCGGACCATACGTGTCCATGTCTGGACTAAAAATATCTGAATGTATGATTTCTAATATGTCCGAGCTCCTCTTGGCACCTTTCTTCTTCTTGTTGGTCTGCTTTCCCTTTATGCAGTCCACACAAGTGTCAAAATCAGTAAAATCTAAAGTACTAAGTACTCCATCATTTACTAATCTCTTAATCCTTTCTATGGAGATATGTCCTAATCTCCGGTGCCACAACATAGAGGAATCTTCATTCATAACACATCGTTTCATACCAGTGTGAACATGCATAGCATCATAAGTAGTATTATTTTACAAATTAATAGAGAAAAGACCATCAGACAATGTACCAGTTCCAATAAGATTAGATTTATAAAATCAACTTAAAGATGTTTCTGAAAAATTAAAGGAATAACCCAAAGGTACAAGTCTGGAAACTGAAATTAAATTCCTAGAAAAACTTGGAACATAAAATGTCTTTTCTAAATTCAAAATAAAACCACTACTTAAAACTAAACAGCATGTTCCGACAGCTTCCACATGTGAGCGCATTTTGTTGCCCCAATAAATGCCCTTCTCACTTTCCACTGGTTTCCTTAGGTTTCGCATACCCTGCAAGGTATTCGAAACATGGATTGTAGAACCAGAATCAATCCACCATGTGTTATGACTAACGTCAACCATATTAGATTCATAACAAACAAAAGAGATTGGATTACCTTTCTTTTCAAGCCATTTCTGAAATTTGGTGCAATCTTTCTTCATGTGTCCCTTCTTCTTGCAGAAGAAGCATTTGGACTCTTTCTTAATTCCACCTTGGGGCGGTATTTTACCTTTCCCCTTCTTCTTGGCTTGAGTCTCATCCTTTCTTTGTGTTGCCATCAACAAACTCTCTCCCAATTCCATAATCAGTCTCCCCTCTTCTTGAACACACATGGTCAAAAGCTCATTAATTGACCACTTGTCCTTATGTGTGTTGTAAGATATCTTAAAGGGTCCATACTGATGTGGAAGAGTGTTCAAAATGTAGTGCACCAGAAAGGATTCAGACATCTCAACCTCTAGATTCTTTAATTGAGCCATGATATCCCTCATCTGCATGATGTGCTCACGCACACCACTGACACTGGTAAGCCTTAAGGAGGAGAACTTCATGATTAGGGTGCTAGCTAAAGCTTTATCTGAAGAGACAAACTGTTCATCAACAGCCTTCAGTAATTCCTTGACTTTGTCATGCTGAGCGACCGAACCACGGATGCCAGCAGAGATCTTTGTTTTTATAAACATGACACAAAGGCGATTAGATCGCTCCCATTTCTCATACCGGTCAACATCATCAGGTTGACTGGTCGCCGTAATGGCAGGTGGTTTAGCCTTCCGAATAGCATAGTCAATATCCATCCACCCCAAATGAAGAAGAATCCCCCCCTTCCATACCTTATAGTTGTCACCCTTTAGTTCGGGAATGTCACATTTTATATCAGAGAAATTTGCAGGTTGCATGACTGCAAAAATTAAATATACATGCTTATTATCCAAATTGAGACTAATATTTTAAATCATGTTTTACCAATGTAAATCATGAATCTAGTGTCATAAAACTTGCCTGTGGGCTAAAGTCCTATTCAATTAGATCCACTCATAATCCTTATGATAAAACTATTAAATTATGTTCCTTTTCTTAATTCCTGTGGGTAAATTAAGAAATATAATTTGATATTCTATCCTAATTAGTCATATAAATATAACAAAAATTCCTGTGGGATAAAATTCGTTATATTCAAAATGACTAACCACAATTAATGTCATAATGTGATCCTAAAGCACTTAATATATAATTTTGCATAATTAAAGATGCTGTGACTACTCCTTAATTAATTAAAATTATATGAATCACTCGACATTTGATTTTATGCACAAAAATAATTCATATAAATTCTGTAAACAGAACCCAAAAATCCGTCCAAAAAAAAAAAAAAAAAAAACTTTTTTTTTTTGAAAAACTGAAGCCCAAAAAATGACATCCCATTATTTTGCACAGTGAATGAAAATGACTTGTCATTTCAAGCACCTGGGATGTCTTCTTCAACCTCCAGATGGGTCGATTTCGACCCGGTTGCGATCCGAATTTTGACCCAGTTCGTTATATATGTTTAATACACCAAAATTGACGTTTTAAATTGCAGAAATGTTAGAAATCTAATTTCTTAATGATTTCTAATCTCATTTTACATCAAAAAATAAAGAAAATCATTATTTCAATTTTTCAAATTGAAAAAGTTTTTGAAAATTTTTTTTCGGCGTAAACAGAGTTTCTCTTGGAAAACAAAGTAACATCAAGGCAGAAGTAATTAAGGTTCTGATACCAAATGTAAACTAAATCTTAAACGATCTAAACATGCTTCTAACAAACTCAATAGCATTTAGATCAATATTGCAGAATAGAATCGAATTGAAAGCATACCTCCGGCCATTGATAACTTCTTACGCTCGACAGATATTTAACTCGGATTTGGCGCTTCTAATCCTCACTCAATGTCAAATAGATGGTGTATTTTACTGAATAAGATTGAAAGGCTTAGGGACCAACTGGAAGGAAATGCCCTCGTATATATATGCATACTCTGTCCATCACAGAGTATTCTTAATCATGCACAACACGTGGGCAGCGGTTATGGACGGTTTTCGAATGTTATTCGCGTCCCTACAAAGTGGAAGATATGGGCCACTATAACGGTAAGTTAGTTTCCTAATATTAAGGGAAAAAATCTTACAATATATAGAACCAAGTTTAGATTTATTAAATTCTGTTATACAAGGGACATCAATTCTAATTATAATTTTCTTTAACTAATTTTAAGTTGTTATCTTTCATTAATAAAAATAATAATTTATATTTAAAGTAAAACTGACACTACTAGTAGAACTGTCTTACCAGATATATTCATTTTTAACAAGATGCTGGCTGATTAGGACTAGAAGATGACAATCCACGCGCATTTTAAGGTGAATTTGAGTATTTCATTCTATAATAACAATATTATAGGACATTAGTTGTGCTAAGCACCACTAACAATAGAAAATGAATCCTGCAATGTTTGTACTTAACACCGATAGTGTGATCTTAAGTGTTTTCTTTAGCAAAGAGCACTTGAAAAGCTTTCAATGTCGTGTTTTTTTGGCTCATAGATTTTTTCTATGAAGGGTAATTGTGTATCTTTGCTCCACTAAGTGTTTAATTTTGATATCTGTTACACCATGGTTGATAGGTCGACCACTCTCTCGAACAACAGACGCCGAGGAGTCCCTGCAAAGGATCGGCCGTTGGCATCGAGGGAACGGCCGAGGCTAATGTGCTCTCTACGTCAAGGGCCATATGTGGTAAGAGACGCCGGACGCGATGACTCAGCCTTCGGAGGCCGCGACGCCGAGGGGACATTGTCGGTCTTCTCTACCGGCGGTGTTGTCAACCCGAAGAGGGAAGTATTGATCCGACTGCTACTGCAGGAGTCAGGAAATCAGACGGCAGATAGGAAGGATTAACCGCATTTCCCGGAACAGTCATAATGAAAACTCACCTACCCTCACGCGGATCAAGGACAGAAGATGGCTTTCTCCTTGGGAACGGGGAATACGTATTCATAATGTAAAGGCCTATAAATAGAGCCAAGAAGACCGGGAAGAAGGTTAGACACCATTTCATTGCAAAAGAAAGAGAGCTTGTAACCGGTTGAAAGATTAGTGCATGCACAAGTGGATTAGGCAAAGAATTATTGCCGAACCACTATAAAAATCGTTGTCTCCTTTGCATTACTTTTCAGTTTTAATCCTTAATCAAACCGTGAGTGTCAACGTGAGTGTTCTTGGAGAGGTAATCACGAGTTGCCGGAAATACACCGTCAACAATTGGCGCTAGAAGGAGGGCCCTTAAGCCTAGAAATTCAATCCAGTTCTTAACCAACTATGCCTCCCAGGAACACCCGCTTACTGGCGGCTAACCCAATAAGTCAGGCGACCCAAAATCTCGCCGCCGCTGGGACCTCAATGAATCCGCTCCCACCGGCTGCCGGGAGCCCCTTAGACCGCATCGACCAGCTCCAAAAGCACGTCAAAATGTTGGCTGCAGGCGTGGAAAGGATGGCTACGGCCCTTGCGGGGCGGGATAAAGGGCAGAACCCAATGCCACCGCTTGAGGATATGCCGATGAACCCGATGAACGCCGCTGTTGGGGGCCAAGGGATTGGTGACCAACACGGTGACGCCGAGGAAGTCGGTGATAGTCGAGCCAACGATCCCTGTCCGACCAAGTCGAATAGGTCTGTGGGGAGCAGACAACGGGCAGCATGGAGGAGAGCGCGAGAGAAGGCCGCGGCGCCAGTTGTGAATAACAGGGATGCGCCCCCTCGACCGCAGCAGGATGCGAATAGGAGGAACGCTGTCCCCGTGGAGTCTTCATTTGCGCACGGTGGAGACCTTAGGACGAGGCTCGATGCCCGACGCGGGAAAGCCGTGTAGCTGGCGAGAAAGGAAGAGCTCGCAGCTGATAATAAGGCTCTGGCCGAGAAGATGGCTAGGCTGGAAAAGCAGATTGGAAGTCGATTAAATTAACTTCGAGCAAGTTATGGGGAAGGTAGCCGAGGCGGTTAATGTCGACGCCAAGATGTACACGTCGTACGACCACCCGTTCACAGAAAGCATCATCCAGGTGCCACTCCCAGACAAGTACAAATCGCCTCCCATTCCGTTATATGACGGAAGGAGTAATCCGGATGACCACTTGGAGGTGTACACAGGACATATGGTCCTGCATGGATACCCCGAGGAGGTCATGTGCCGAGCATTCAGGAATCACCTGTCTGATTCTGCGATGAGGTGGTTCAGATCTCTGAAACCAAACTCCATCACCAGTTGGGATGACTTGAAGAACGCCTTTCTGACTCAGTTCATAGGTGTCAAAAAATACATCCCACCCAAACAAAACCTCTCAAGAGTGTACCAGGGACCCAACGAGTACCTGAAGGACTGGATAGCCCGGTTTGGGGAGCAGGTCGCCACCACTGAGGGAATCTCCGATGAGGTGGCCTTGATGAGGGCGCTATCGAGTATGAAGAAAGACATCCCCTACAGCACAGACCTCGACCGTAGGCCGCCCCATACCTACCAGGAATTCCTGACAAGGGCACAGGGGTTCATCAACGTCGAGGAGGCTAAGAAGGCCTTGAAGAGCAAGGTGACTGCCCTTGCCAAGGAAGAGGTAGGGCAGGTGAGCGGCCAAAACAACGGTAAGAAGTGCCGAGGTCCCCCTCAGGTGCAAGCCGAGCAGAGGTATAACCCGGCTCTGAGTAACAGAGGTGGCAACGCCTCGACGAGTCAGGGGGAGAACAAGCGGCCGAAGCTGCAACGGTACGACGCCTACACACCCTTAATTATGGGGATCGAAGACGTCTACCATGAGATAAGTCATCTCCAGGTCCTGCGTCGACCGCTGCTGCTGAAGTCCAACCCAGCAAGGAGAAACCAAAACAAGTATTGTCAGTTTCATGGTGAGAGTGGGCACACTATGGCCGAATGCTACGACCTAAGGGATGAGGTCGAGAGGTTGATCCGAGAGGGAAGGCTTAATGATTACCGAGCCGACCGTCAGAACAAAAACAACAGACGCAATAACGACCGACGGGAAGAGTAGAGGCATGACAACCCGCCCGAACTAGTCGGCGTTTTAAGAACGATCTTCGGGAGACCATACCTCGGTGGCACTTCTCGACGCGCACAGAAAGAGTACGCTTGAGAGGCAAAAGAGAAGTTCAGCCAGAGGATTATGAACGTCTCCGGACGCGAGGCTAAGGCAGCGCGCTATGAGGACGCCTAGATCACCTTCTAGGAGGCCGACGCGAGGGGGGTACATTTCCCCCAGAGTGATGCCTTGGTCGTCGAGGCCATGATCGGTAACCACTCGGTTTGCCGCATCCTGGTCGACAATGACAATTCCGTGGACATCTTGTACTCAGACTGCCTAGACAAGATGGGAATCCCCCGCGCAAGGCTGTAAAACAGTGCGCAGCCCCTGTATAGTTTCACAGGGGACAGCGTCATCCCGGAAGGGGAGATCGAGCTGCCTATGACCATTACAGACCGACTGTGCACCTCGACTGTCATGTCAAAGTTCCGGGTGGTGGAGGGAGGTGACCAATACAACGCGGTCATAGGGCGCCTGACGCTGAGGGCCTTGAGGGCAGTAACATCCATCTACCACCAGATGATGAAGTTTTTGACCCCTAATGGGATCGGCAAGGTCTGAGAAAATCAGTATGAGTCGAGGCTTACGTACTCGAAAACGGTCCGCCACTACGCCGAGCTGACGCAGGTACGAAAGGAACTGAGAATGGTCGAGACCAGGGCGAAAGAATACGATTTGGATCCAAGGTTCCCAGGAGAAGAGACCAGAACGGGACCGGTCGAGGAGTTGATCGAGGTCCCCATTGATGAAAGAGAGCTGATGATAACGCTAAGGGTGGGCTCTGAATTGGGGACACAGGCCCGCGAGAGACTGGTCGAGTTTCTCAGAGGAAGCCTCAACGTGTTCACCTGGACCCATGAAGACATGGAAGGGATAAGCCCTGACATCATGTGTCACAGGCTGAATATCGACGAGAAATGCCCGCCTAAGAGACAGAAACGTCGACCCATGAACGCCGAGCGGTACGAGGCCCTGCGGGAAGAGGTCGACAAGCTGATTAGAAACAACTTCATCCGAGAAGTCTTATACCCCAGGTGGGTTTCGAATCCCGTACTAGAAAGGAAGCCAAACGGCGAGTGGCGAACATGCGTCGACTTCAGCGACCTGAACAAAGCATATCCCAAGGATAGCTTCCCATTGCCCCGAATCGATCAGCTGGTTGACGCTACGGCGGGACACGAGCTACTGAGCTTTATGGACGCATACTCTGGGTACAACCAGATACCAATGTTTGATCGCGACGAAGAACACACGGCGTTTGTCACCGACAGAGGTCTCTACTGTTACAAAGTGATGCCCTTCAGTCTCAAAAACGCTAGGGCAACTTATCAACGCCTCGTCAACAAGATGTTCACGGGACAAATAGGAAAGTTAATGGAGGTTTACATCGACGACATGCTGGTGAAGAGCAGGAAAACTAAGGACCATGTGGAGGACCTTAGGAGAATGTTCGGCGTCCTCAGAACGTACAAAATGAAGCTAAATCCCCGCAAGTGTGCCTTCAGCGTCACTTCAGGGAAATTCTTAGGTTTCATGGTGAGCAGTCGAGGAATCGAGGCCAATCCGGAGAAGATTCAGGCCCTCATCGACATGGGATCGCCAAGGAAGCCCAATGAGGTCCAGAAGCTGACAGGCTGTGTGGCCGCACTTAATAGGTTTATCTCTAAATCCACGGATAAGTGCGTACCATTTTTTGACACCCTGATGGGAAGCAAGCCATTCCTATGGACGAAAGAATGCGAGCAGGCATTCTAACGACTGCAGGAACACCTTGGGAAACCCCCTATGCTGTCCAAACTTGTGACCGGAGAGGTGCTGAGCCTTTACCTGGCAGTCTCGGAACACGCCGTTAGTTCGGTGGTGATCCGCGAGGAGAAGAAGGTGCAGTTGCAGTTGTATTACACTAGCAAGCGCCTCCTCGACGCGGAGACGAGGTATCTCCAGATGGAAAAGCTCGCCCTCGCACTAGTTGTGACAGCAAGGAAATTGCGGCACTACTTCCAGGCCCATAGCATTCAAGTCTTGACCAACCACCCACTCAGGCAAGTGCTACAGAAGCCCGACACCTCCGATCGACTCTTGAAATGATCCATAGAGCTCAGCTAGTTCGACATCGACTACAAGCCACGGACTGCCATCAAAGGCCAAGCCCTGGCAGACTTTGTGGTAGAGTTCACGGGGCTATCGGACGAGGTCGACAAAGCCGACAAACCGCCACGATGGAAGCTCTACGTCGACGGGAGCTCCAACGACAATGGCAGTGGGGCAGGACTGGTATTACACACACCTGAGGGACACAAGATCACCTCGGCCATCAGGTTTGAATTTCCCGCATCCAATAACGAAGCCGAGTATGAGGCGTTGCTGGCTAGACTCCGGCTGGCGGAGCACCTAAAAGCGGGGAACTTGGACATCTTCAGCGATTCACAGCTTATAGTGAATCAAGTGAAGGGCCAATACCAGACCCGAGATGAGAAAATGGCCGCGTATCTGAAGAAGGTCAAGGAAGCCCTGGGGAAGCTCACGGCCTATGATATACAGCAAGTACCGAGAGCAGAGAATAGCAACGCCGACGCCCTCGCCAAGTTGGCGACGTCGAGAGATGCCTAGCTCTTGAACCTGGTCCCCGTGGAGGTCTTGAAAGTCCCGACGACAGCAAAGAGGCCCGAGGTCGTGCCGGTGGAATACCAGCCAAGCTGGATGGACCCAATCATCAGGTACTTGGTCGACGACGAACTCCCTGATGACAGGCAGCAGGCAAAAAAGATGAAGTATCAAGCGGCGAGATACACAATGTACAACAACCTCCTCTATCGAAGGGGCTACTTGACGCCCCTGCTCCGGTGCCTCGGCGCATAAAAGGCAAAGAGAGTGCTGTCTGAGGTGCACGACGGGATATATGGGAACCACGCGGGGGGACAGTCCCTAGCCTACAAAATACTTCGGCAGGGGTATTACTGGCTAAGTATCAAGAAAGATGCAGCCGGGTACGCGAAGAGGTGCGATAGCTGCTAGAGGTACGCCCCCATACCTCGACTGCACTCAGAGGACCTAACATCTATAGTGTCTCCCTGGCCCTTCGCTAAATGGGGAATTGACCTTATCGGTCCCCTGCATAAAACCCCGGGGGGTTATTAGTTCGCTATTGTCGCGGTCGACTACTTCCCAAAGTGGGTAGAAGCCGAGCCATTGACAACCATCTCAGAGAAAAAATGTACAAACTTCATATGGAACAACATAGTTTGCAAGTTTGGTGTGCCGCATTCTCTCGTCTCTGACAACGGGAAGCAGTTCAACAACGACAACACCAGCCAGTTTTGCGAGCTACTAGGAATCTACAAGAATTTTTCCTCCGTCGTATACCCCCGTCCAACGGGCAGGTCGAGGCGGTCAATAAGATAATCAAAGTCACGCTCAAACGACGCCTCGACGCATACAAAGGTAAATGGGCCGACGAGTTACCAAAAGTGTTGTGGGCCTACAGGACAACGAATAGAACTACTACAGGGGAAACCCCATTCTCGATGGCATATGGGGTCGAGGCAGTCCTTCCAGTTGAGGTGTCCGTTCTGACCAACCGGGTAACCTGGTACGAGGAGGATAGGAATGCCGAGCTGATGGGCTTGGAGTTCGACCTCCTGGAATAACGACACACAGATGCACGCTAAGGGTCGCTGCCTACCAGGCAAGAATTGCCAGGTATTATAACAAGAATGTCAAGCAAAAGCGCTTCGAGGTCGGGGACCTAGTTTTGCGGGTGGTAACCCCCAACACCACACCCAAGAATTCCGGAGCCCTGGGCCCGACGTGGGAAGGGCCCTACAGAATAAGAAAGGTCGTGGCCAATGGGTCGTACCGACTGGCAGAGCTCGACGGTCGGGACATCAAGCACACTTGGAATGCGGACCAGTTGAAGGTCTACTACCAGCAAACACGAGAAACGTCGACCTAACAGAGCAAACTTATTGTTTTTTAATTAAGTTCTGTTTCATTTCTCGTTTCTGACAGGCCAAAAAGCCAACTTGTAAATTCTACATGAATAAAAGGCAACGGGCATTATGCGCTTAATCAACAAATTTTACCTTACGACCAATTCTTGTTACGCGGGTACAACCGTCTACTGCTCCTGTCGATACGTCGACCATATCAATTCGTCGATACGTCGACTAAGATCGTCAATACGTCGACGATGATGCGCCAAAAACAAGTCCAGGGCTTTGTTTTTGGCGAGGGGACAATAGGGCCCCCATGAACTTGTAAAGGCGGTGGGGCTCTGGCTCAACCATACCCAAGCAACAAGCAAATTCCGTACACTCAATATTCTACCCTCTACGTCGAAACTTTGACAATGGTATGCCAAAGCCGAGTTCTAAAACTCAGCTTGGGCGAGGTGGTACTAAGGCCTGACATGAGGCCCCCCGTAAAAAAAAAAAAAAACTGTCGACTCACAAGAGGTAGTCGAGCCTACACTTGGCAAAAAGAATCTACATGTGCGCAACATCCACACAAACAGTGAGCAAAGGTAAGCATGAAGATATATATAGAGAAATTAAAAAAAAAATTGTCTCGACCTTATGGTCGTTACAGATCATCGAATAAATATTGTCTGGGCCTCACGGCCCGGGAAAAAAAAAGAGAGAAGTGTTACAAAAACAATGAAAGCTCCCAGAGAAGTCACCTCACTGCTCGCCGTCTCCGCCCACGGTTTGCTTAGCATCCCCCTGTGCTCGCTCGGCCCCCTCGGTCCCCTGATCCAGTTCGATAACCTCCACGCCCTCGCTGTCGGACTCATCGAGGAAGGACAGGTCGACGTCCGGACGCTTCTTACGGAAGCGGCCGAGGATCTGCTCCCCTGCGGACTGCATCAAGGACAGTTGGAGCTCTTCAAACTCGGCTGAAGATTGGTAGGCCTCGAGCCTTTGGTTGACGAGCTCCTCGAAGGCTTCTGA